AGGGAGGGGACCAGCCACATTGAGGAGTGTGTGCGGCGGCAACTGCTGGCCACGGGCCGCCCGCCCATCACGGAGCATGCGGCGCCCTGGATCCCCGACAAGGCCACAGACATCTGCATGCGCTGCACACACACCCGCTTCTCCGCCCTCACCCGGCGCCACCACTGCCGCAAGTGTGGCTTCGTGGTCTGCGCTGAGTGTTCCCGCGAGCGCTTCCTGCTGCCGCGCCTCTCGCCCAAGCCCTTGCGTGTCTGCAGCCTCTGCTACCGAGAACTGGCTGCCCAGAAGCGGAAGGAGGAGGCGGAAGAGCAAGGCAGGGGGTCCCCTGGACAGCTGCCCCACCTGACTGGGGCAGTCTGTGGAGCTTCCAGTGGAGATGATGATGACTCGGACGAGGATAAGGAGGGCTATGGGGATGGTGACTGGCCCAGCCACGTGGAGTTCTATGCCTCGGGCGTCTCCTGGTCTGCCTTCCACAGATGACCCTAGTCCTACAGAGCTTCTGTGTCCAAACCAGCTCCACTGCCCAGGTTCCCCAGAGGGAGAGCAGAGTCTGAAGGTGCCTGGTACCCCTGGGGCCCCACCCCACAGTGTGGGCACAGTGGTGGAGGGTGAGCTCTCCCTCTAGGTTCCTATGCCTTCTTGCTGGAAACCTAGTTCCACTTCAGGTAATAGTGTTTCCATTTAGCAAGCTCCTAAACACTTAGGGCTCTTGGGAACAAATGCCATTTCCTAGTCCTACAGGCTGCAGCTGCAGCTCCTGACAACCTCTTGAATGACATGACCCCATGTGCCTTAAGAACATAGAAGGAGACAGGATGGAGGTGAGGATCCACTCCTCTCTGAGGCCTTGAGCCACAGAAACCACCCCATCAGGAATAAGCATACCTGTGAGCCCTGGGAGGCCTCCAGGAAACAAGATCTGCTCACCCAACACCTGGTGCCACTGCCTGGCCACTGGGCCTTGCCAGTCCACGCATATGGGCTCACTTAAGCCAGGCAAAAGACACCCACCACACCCCAGGGCCTGCAGCCCAGGACAGCCTGATGAGGTCTCTGCCCTGTCTCTCCTCTCTCCAGGTGTCCGGTGTCTGCCTCTTTTTGTCCTGTCCTCATCTCTGTCTGTGGCCAGGAAAAGCACATTTTTCATTAGAACTCTTAGATGCAGGGACAGAAAGCCTACCCAGGCTGACGTCATAATAAAGGTTGGTTGATTTGCGTGATTGCAAAGTCCAGGCGTGTTCCTACTTCAGACAGCTCAATTGGGGGCTTAAACCCATGCTGAGCGGGAATAGTCAGCCGTGGCCCACCACACTGGGCATGTCTGGGAATGGTGTAAGCCCAGTGGAGACAGATGTTCGTGTCACCCCTTGACTGGTCTCTTTGAGGACTCAGCTGCATCGGGTTGCTGGGACCTTGACCTGGCGCCTGTAGTCCTGTTTACTTTGGTGTCAGTGATCCAAACAGACAGGATGGAGGAAGCAAGGAGGCAGCTGTCTGGCTCTGCCTGGGTCTTCCAGGTTGAGAGCTGTCTTCTACGTGGCTCCTCCAGGCCCCTGGAAACAGTGCTGTTGAGTGGGGAGACAACCCAGGTGCCATAACTGGCCTTGCTGAGAGCCAGTGTTACGGGCCTGTAGCTGGAACACCAGCCTCTTGAGGCCTGGCCCACATGCTGGCTGTAGAGCTGAGGGTCCCTAAAGACACTCTGTTGTGGGTACTTCTGAACTGGTCTTCCCCACTGTGACGTAGAGTGGATTCTGTCAGCCAGGAGTGGTGACTGCAGGGCTGGGAAAGCCACCCCATCTCTAGTCCTCAAGGTGCAGTGTCTGAATCCCCACCCTCAGGTGTCCACATGCCACCAGACCCCAGAAGAGGGTCAGGTTGGGGTGCAAGTTCCCATTCAGCAGGGTCCACTGCTGTTGACAGTAGTGAGCTCTGCAAGAGGGCAGGAGGATAAAGTGTGAAGGACCTGCTGGTGGCTTCCCTGCATGGGCGAATAACTGCATGGGGGTGGGCCAGAGGAGCTTCCAAGAATGACCTGGTTGTTTACAGTCCCTTTCTCTCTGCTGGCCTCTCGGAACCACACAAACTGGTTCAGACTGGTTTGTCTGGGCAGAGGGCATAGAGTGGGACAGGTCACGGGGTGAAGAGCAGCTTCCTGAAGACAGATCTTATGTCCTGAGAAAGCCAGGGCAGGCTGAGTGCCAAGCCTTTCTTCAGGGCTCAGGGCCAGGGCCAGGTAGGTGCTGGCTCGGCCCTCAGCCCAGGACAGAGGCCCTGCTCCCTTCTCCCATGGAGCTGTGCCCAAGTGTCAGGGCCTGTGAGGACCTGAGGGCTCAGGGAGCCAAGCAACCTTTGGACGGCCTTCCTTCATGCAGACTCACTCACTGAAACTGGCTCTGTGCCGTACAGGCGCAAGGGACCTGGCTGTGTGGGACAGGGATGGTGCCTTGGGGCGGGCAGAACAGGCGGCGGGTGCTGTGAAGGGGGACAGGGTGGAAGGGCAGCACCCACAGAGGTGAGCACGCTCCGAAGGGTGAGACTGAGCAATGTCACTCAGGGAGATGGCGTTCCAGGCGGAGGGAACAGCAAATGTGAGGGCTCTGAGGAAGAAAGGAGCAGCCTGGCCAGAGCAGAAGCCAGGGAGGAGGTGGGGTCAGCTCAGGTGGACTGGAAACAAGCCAAAGCCACTGGAGGCTCCAGCAGACAGCGGGTCTGCTCTTGATGTTAAGAGCTTGCCTTGACTGCTGTGTGCAGGTGGCTGGGAGGGGAGCGTACAGTTGGGTAGGCATGGGGACTGTGTAGCCATCCGCTCCCCGTGAGGTCTCCGGGGAGTATCTAGGCTCCAGTAAGGCCATGTCTGCAGCCGTTGGTGCCTCCAGTGGTGGACTGGAAGCCTTAGCTGTCCTTCACCTCCTGCCCTGCCAAGGTGTTAAGCAGGCCCCTGAGGTTTGGATTTTGACAGCAGAAGGTGCACGAGGAAGCAAGTCAAATGAGCTTGCCTCTGGGGACACTAGACCACCCCATGGGCAGGCTGCATGGACACCGTGACTATCTCACCTTCCTGGCCGGCGGGTGCCACTGTTGGTCCCATTCATAGGTGGGGAAGTTCATTCGTGGTGCTGAGAGTTGTCCTTACCCAAGGCCACACAGCTGCCCCCTGCTCTTGGCCACAGCTCTGCCCCCCACACCTGCGGAGGTCGGGAGTTCTCGGTCTGGACTTCAGTGCCCCTACTTTTTGCAGATGTTCACTGTTCCCAGAATCGGGCTTGAGGTCTGGCAGGAACGCTGGCTCTGCCGGGCCTGGGTCCAGGCCCTCACACTCCTTTCTGGGGCTTTGCTTGCAAGGCCTGGCGAGGACACAGGAACCAACTGTCCTGCCAGCCACGGCTCCCATCCCCCACCTGGAATCTGTCCTCCCAGCTTTGTGTGGACGCTATGTTCCTGCCAGGAGCTGACTCTTCTTAGGCTGCACTGGGTCCCTGAGTGGAGCCTTCCTTACCCCTCCTCCTGGGTGCTGCAGAGAAGAGGGGCGGGTCTGAGGAGCACTGGAGCCTAACACTTGTCCCAGGATAAAGAAGTCACAGCCAGGACCGCAGGGCCTTTGGAGACATGACAGGCAGGTCTCCCTGCCAAGTTCAGGGAGGATGCGGCATCCTCGCAGGACTCATATACTAAGGGAGGCTGTTACAAGGGGCTCGATCCAGTGGCCCCTACCTGCAAGTTTTGGCTGGTGGAATGTTCAGATGCCAGCTTTTCTTAAAGAAGGGCCCACCTGCATAGGCAATGGTGTTTGCCAGGAAGCCTGGCTGGGGGCTCCCAGGGCCACAGGAGTCTTGTCCCTCCTTAGTAGTACTGGTGGGGTGCATCACTGACTGCCACTTACAGCCTGCAGGGAAGCAGAGCCAGGTCACAAGAGGCCACCTTAAGGCTAAAGGAGGTATGGCCGGAGCCCTGAGAGGGGTAGTCTGAGCCAGAGAAGGAACTCCCAGAACAGCCTGCAGGGCTTCCTGGAGGAGGCAGTCTGGGTTGAGCCTTAGAGAATGGTAGGACTATATCAGAGAATTGTAGTCTTGTGAGAAGGGAGACTGAGTCTTTTTGTTAACTGTCCCTTCCTGTCTTTGGCACTAAACATTTGTTTACTAGAATCAAGTAGGAAGTAGGGCTAGGGGAACTGGGGCAAGGGGGATGATAATGAAACAGATTGAGCTCACCCCTGGGGCCTCCTGGGAAAGAGCTGGATGAGAGCCAGTGTTCTGGCCTCTTTCCACAGGAACAGGCCAGCAGGAGGCTTGGCCAGGGGTCCAGCCCCCACTCCTTGACGCTGCCCATGGGTTGCCCTCTTGGGTAGGGGTGGGATGTTCCCACCCATCACCACTATCCAGGAAGAGTTTTCTGGAGAGAAGGCATCTAACTTGTGCCTAAGCTGCAGCCCAGGGTGTCACCCAGGTTGCTATTAGAGGCTTTTTACCCAGCCCCAGCCTGTTCTTTGAAAACAGCCAGCAGGGGACCAGCAGATGGAATAATGGTTATATCACTGGACTCCCATGTAGTTGACCAGGGTTGGAATCCTAGACCCTGTGGCTTAAAATTCATGCTGGGCACGTGTGCACACGTGCCTAAAATCCTGAGAGGAAACTGGAGGAGAAGGAATTGCGGCATGGACATCCTCCCGGTGGGGGGGGG